TTCTTTTCTTTTTTTCTTTGCTCTCGTTGCTTTTTGCTGCCATTTTTCTCGCGCTTTTTTTTCTCTCTCGCTGTTGAACAACAAGAAGAAACGGGCGGCGGCTGGACCAGAGTTGAAGGAGGCCTGCATGCGGATACCACTGGTGCTCAGTGTTTCGTATATCTTTTTGACCAGGATTATCATGCCTTCAGAAGGATGCGTTGGCCACCTGTTATATTCAGTCTCCGTAAAAATATAGTAAGCCCCAGAGACATTGATTTGTTGGGAGGATGCTCCTTTGGTCCTTTCGTTTACGAATGGTGGAGGCGATAGAAAGAAATATATAGACAGGTTAAATCTCGCCCTGGAATAACTTCCCTGCGGTGCCTCCCAGGGCTAACGGCAGCTCCCTCCTTTCTAGTAGGTCTGTACCTCCTAGCTTCATGTATAGTCGCTGACTTAGTGGGCAGTTCTGTGGGGAGGGGAAGGGGAGGGGCGAGAGATAAGATACACTAATATGTGACCTGGTGGGTTTTAGCAGCAAGAGCCACATGTTTTCCCTCAGTTGAAGATTGTAGCGGCCGTTCCTCGCTCGCCTTCGGCCCATTCGGGCACACATTCGATCACTTCTGCCTGTGCTGCACATAAGGGAGGCCAATCGGGGGTTGAAAAAAGGCAAATGGGAAGAAGAAAAAAGAGCATCAAGGCTTGAATTGGGTTGAGGGTCCAGTCCCAGTGTCCTCTGCTGATCTATTGACTGGCAAGGATTCCGATCTAGATGACTGTCCGAAAGCGCTGTGCCTGTAACGCGCCTTTTAATAATGTCCCAAGTAGCCGAATCTTCTCCTCACCCCAGGGCCCCTTGGAGGCAAAGTTAATTGAACTGGTGCGTTTTCACCGCTCTTATACATCGTAGCTTTCCCCATGTCGAATTAGCCGTATCGTACTCCAGCAGTGTATAGGAGCTAGCTGTCTCGTCTCGTTTCTTTTTCCTTCGCTATCCTCTGCTTTGACAATACTGTTCATAGGAGGTGTGCCAGTGCGTTGGTGGATAAACTAGCTCCATTGGGTTCTCCCTGATTCCGTTCTCTCCACCGGTGTTGAGAGTCAGTACCACGTATGCGTATGGTATAGTTGCATCTTCCTGTCCTGCCTCCAGTTTTTAATGTTTGTTTTCACCAGAATGTCTCCGGTCCAGTAGTATAAATAGTTCTCATCTTCTTCTCGGCTCGGTTGACCTCTCTCCTTTGTCCTCTGCTTCATTCAACAACAACTGCCCCTCCACTGCCAAAAGAAGTCTTTCCAGAAGGTGAGTTATAAGCAGGGTCATCTTCTTGCTCTTTTCATCATCGTCATCATCCGCCTCTTATCTTCTGCAAAGTTCACAAGCTGATAGTATCGCATATAGCAACTTTACCTCTCATCAACATGGCTGCTCAACTCCCAAATAGCATGAAGGCCCTCAGGTAAGCCTCCGTCCCTGCGTCAATCCCCTCCATAAGGTCTTTCAAGGTGAGCTTGCTAAGTTATTTTGCAAAATTGCAGATACTCCAAGCCTGAGGAGTTCAGTATCGTCAACATTCCACTTCCAGAGCTTAGAGAGAACGATGTTATGGTAAGCTTGCACGTGTTTCCAGGCAAGGAATCGATCGGAACAGGGAAGCCGCTGACAAACTTCTGTAGATCAAAGTCAAGGCATGTGGTGTCTGCGGCACTGATCTCCATATCCATGAGGGTGAATTTCTGGCCAAGGTAAGTAACTCCTGGTTGAAGTAGGTTCAAATCAGCTTATAAGTTCCTTAGTTCCCTCTGGTTCCAGGGCATGAGACCGTTGGTGTCGTTGCTGCTGTCGGCCCAAAGGTCAAAGGGTTCAGTATTGGAGATAGAGTTGTTGCAGACAACTCTGAACTCTGCGGAGAATGCTTCTACTGCCGCCGCGGTGAGGAGCTTCTTTGTGAGCACTTCGAGGCCCATGGTGTCACTATGAACGGTGGATTCGCCGAGTACTGCGCTTATCCTGGTAAGTCGGGCGTTCCTGAAAAATTGTGTTGTTCTAACTCCTTGGATCATAGCTGGCCGTGTGTTCAAAATCCAAAACCTCTCAGATGTTGATGCTACCCTCCTCGAGCCCGCTTCTTGTGCTGCTCACGGTCTTGACAAGATCAGTCCCAAGATGGGTTCCACTGTTCTTATGTTTGGTGCTGGCCCAACTGGCCTTGTATGTCCATCCAGGCTTTCCAATTGTGTTGGTGCATGGTATAGCAACTAACAATATGGAAACTTTGAACAGGTTCTTGCTCAGATGCTCAGATTGAACGGTGGCTGTAAGGTTGTCATTGCCGCTCCAAAGGGCCTCAAGATGGACCTGGAAACTTTGAACAGGTTCTTGCTCAGATGCTCAGATTGAACGGTGGCTGTAAGGTTGTCATTGCCGCTCCAAAGGGCCTCAAGATGGACCTTGCTAAACGCCTTGATGCTGCGGATGAGTACGTTGAGCTTTCTCGCGAGGACCCAAGCGCTCAGTTCGATGCCCTGAAGGCCGCCAACCCATACGGATTCGACATCGTTGTTGAAGCCACTGGAAGCGTCCGAATCCTCGAGGATGCTATCAATTACTGCCGTCGTGGCGGAAAGCTAGTTGTCTATGGTGTCTATGCCAACAAGGACCGTGTCAGCTGGGCTCCATCCAAGATCTGTAGGTTGATCCTTTCCTGACAGGCTTTTTTAAAAACATTGTCTTGGTGGTGTTGTCTCAATTTTCTTAACACTGTAATTCTCAATTTAGTCGGCGACGAAATTACCATCATCGGAAGTTTCAGTGAAACCTACAAGTTCCCTGCCGCTATTGACTACCTTGACTCCGGAAAGGTCAGAGTCAATGGCATCGTCAACAAGACCTTCAAGATTGAGCAGTGGGCCGAATGTCTCGAGTCCATGAAGAACAAGTCTGCCATCAAGGCTGCCATCACCTTCGACTAAATAAGCCAATGCTTTTCATTTGGCGCCATCGTTTTAATGCACCATTTTCACGGCCTCTTTTACTTTGGAGTCGGGCCGCTTGGTTATGTTGATCATTAATTCCACGGTGGTACCTTTTCATGGATGACGCTCTTTTCGTTCAACGACAAAAAGAATATGGACCTTTTCCTATTTATTTCACCATATTCAACGGGGAAAATCGGGCTTTTGCTGGATCAAGGTATCGGGTATCATGATGGTATTGGAAGGTGTTTGGATCAATCCTTGGAGCTTTTCGCCGTAGGCTGTTGTGGTCAATTACGACGTCATCATTAGCTACGTATCGCAATAATGGATAGAATACCAGCACCATCTCAGCTCTCTATCGCTCGCAATTGGCACCCGAACTTGTAGGTCCAAGGAGAAAAAGTGCTGTATCGCTCTCGTGATGTTGATCAGACGAAAGATGAAGTCGAACGTCGTCCCTCTTTATACGTCGGTAGTTCTAATACCTGCAACCAAGGTCCTCAATGCGGTAAATAATGGATATATGTTATTCCGACACCGACGAGGCGGCCGGAGGTAGAAGTGACATGGATCAAAATGGAGACCATGAGGTCAGTCAAAAACGAGTTGCAATTCGCTTTTAGGGAGCAATCTCTCAATGAACTGAATCGCAATGGTCAAGCCTCTATCTTTCAAAGGAGATAAAAAGACGAAGAAGAGAAAGCGGCAGCCTGATGACAACGAAGAGAGTGCCACAACCGAACCTCCCAAAACCTCCGCTGCGGATACTGAAGCTACAGCCGACGATGATGGCCAGAACTGGGTCTCTGCCGATATACCAGCTGAGATAGCAGGGCCTGTTTTACTTGTGTTGCCATCAACTCCACCGTCATGCATTGCTTGTGATGTCAATGGAAAGGTATTCGCCAGCGAGTTGGAGAACATTGTAGAAGGGAATCCAGCTACCGCGGAACCACATGACGTCCGCCAGGTATGGGTAGCAACAAAGGTTATAGGGAGTGAAGGAGTCAGTTTTAAAGGACATCACGGAAGGTACGGGCTATTTTAATTTTCTAGCATTTATTTGGATAGCAACAAGCTAACTGGAAGCCCCATTGAAAAGATACCTTAGCTGCGATAAGTATGGTATTTTAAGTGCCAACTCATCTGCGATATCAGCTCTCGAGTCCTTTGTCCCAATTTCTTGTCCCAACTCCCCAGGCATGATATCACTTCAAATATGTGGGGGTGATATTGAAGCGTACATTTCCTCCAAAGAACCTCCTCCAGCTACTTCCAAGCCGTCAATTGAAATCCGAGGTGATGCCACTGAAATCTCATTCAATACTTCTCTCAGAGTCCGGATGCAGGCGCGTTTCAAACCAAAAACGAAGTCTGCAGCCGCAAAAGAGAGCAAGGCGTTGGAGAAGATTAGCCGGAAGGAATTAGAGGAAGCTGTAGGTAGGAGGCTGAATGATAGTGAAGTAAAGCGACTGAGGAAGGCACGGAGAAAAGGAAATTACCATGAAGAAATCCTGGACGTCAGGGTGCAAGGTAAACACGATAAGTTTGCCTAGCCTAGCTGCGCCTTAAAAAAAGGCGCCGTAGGTGTATAATGACCAATAATGAAAGCAAGATACTTTGAGGCCAAAAGTGTACAAACTGTACCACGACGTTAGTTGTTCACAAGGTGGAACCTCTCCATCAATACTCTCCAAGCGTTCCAGGATGTTGAACCCCATAATATAAGCAATACCCTCATAGAAAGTAACACGATCCATAAGACTCAAAGGAGTAATAACATAGATCACAAAATATCATTAAATCGTCATTAGCGTATGCAGAACGCCGCTATCATATCGTATGTACCTTTCCACTCGTCGACGAGAGAAATGCTCATGTCAAATATACAAAAATCCTTATAAACTACCCTGGGTCCATGAACAGCCACCCAACGCCATAACCCCAGTAATCATCCTCCCTGACACATGCATATACAAGGAAACGTAACAGGAAGTGAAAATAAAAAAAAAAAAAAAAAAAAAAAAAGAATAGGGGAAAAATTCCTGGTATAAAATGTCGGGGTAATGGAATAGTAATGCAGTCTTATCGGAGAATGGGGAATAATCGGTGTACAACTTTAAGCCCTAATCAAGAAAGTTAGATACTGACAGGATGAGGAAGAAGGGGAATACCGCATGATAGGAATGGAAACTTAAGCTCGTACATTTTGGCCTGGCAGCAGCTCGTTCTCGCTCTTCATCTTCGGCCATCCTCTCGTTACCAAGCATAGCAACTGCTCTTTGACGCATTGCCTCTTGCCGCTCTGTACTATCTGCTGTATTATTGCGCAAGTTTTGTGGAAGGTTTATTAGCGGAATAATTGGTGTATTAGTCCTCGGATTGGTTCGTTGTCGCTCCCGTTCTTCTTGTATTCTTCTAGCAAGTCGTTCTTGACGAACCATCAAGTTTGTTACCGTTTCCGGAAAATATCCAACTGGAAGGACACTGATCTTGCACACCGGACATAAACTGCTATTTTGCAGTAGGAACGTATCAATACACCCGGGATGGAATATGTGTCGGCATGGGAGTTCCCGAACAGTAGTTTCTCCAGAGACATAATCTTCGAGACAAATGGGGCATGTGCATTGCGAGAATGTGAGTTGACCAACACCCTGATTGGAAGGCAAAGCTTGAGTCCGAGTATCTGCTCTTTTTCCTCCTTTGGCTTGCGCAAGTGCAGTAGACCCTCGAGAGTTACCAAACAGGTGCGAAACAAAGCTCCGTATAACAGCAGGCTTCTTGCTGTCTGGGGTGGAAGGTGACGGTGCTTGGTCAATGTTTTGTGAGACTGTTGTGACGGCTGGTGCAGGAGTCATAATATTCCCGTCATTAGAGTAAGTGTAGAGAGGCATTTTATCAAGGATATGCTGAGGCACAGTCATTCTTTTGATGCCCAGCATCTCCAAATCCACCTCCCCTGCCTGAATCCTGCGCTGCAATGACAGACGTCGTCGTCTTTGGATGTACCGCATTAAAATCGATGATATGATGATAATGACAATAAGTACTCCGAGAACTGCCAGAAGAAATATCCATAAGTTTGGCATCAAACTCCGGCCTCGCGCTAGAAGGATGTCAATAAATATATTCACCTCGGAGCATAAGCGACAGAGTTCCCTTACCAACATCAACCCGAGCAAAAATCCTTGCACGTGCCTTGGGACCATATTCGCTGCTAAGTGCATCTCCATGTGGTACGGACGACAAATTTCCAGAGTATAGGGCGATTTCATTTACTAGTTGCTTTCCATAAGCTCCGGGAATAGCATATACCGGAAACGGGTGGTTCAACTTCCAGGTATCGTCCTCGTCCAACTTCCATATAGTACCATTTCCCATCGGCAGTTTGCTTGTTGAGTTGTTGGGAATATAAAGAACAGTACCAACTACACGATCATTGTTTGCTGCATCCAAGAATGCGAGAGTACAGTTCGGCGATATCCAAGGAGCGATTGCCATGAGCGCACACGGGGGTTTAGGGAAGTCAGAACGTCGGGTAACATTGGGCGGAATCAGGCTCTTTGCCTCCTCATTGCAAGCATCATTGGAGAGCTCGGGCACATATAGTAACCCACTGATAGACTCTCCAGGTCCATTTGAAGAAAGCGTCACAAGATTGTCACCAAGATCGAGTTGATAAGAGACGGTATCCTAAATCAGGGCTCATGTAAGCATTTGAGTGTTCGGCGGTCCGCGATGAACCTGGAGATGACCATACATTTAGAGGTAGTGGAGAGTCGCATGTTTCTCCTGGTAAAACCAGTGTGCCGACTCGAAAGGAGCTCGATGCTAAGCGGCATTGCGTGAGCGAAAGTCGATGGGAGAGCCGGGCCGACCAGACCAGACTTACCCATGAGATATCAGGATATAACACCAGGGCTAGGGCCCAAGTACGATGTGAAGGGAGCACTCCGGTTTCGGCTCGATTTCACGAACAACTTTCCCACCGATACAATCCGAGAGTTGCAACAGAGGAAATTATTATTTTATCATAAGAAATATATCCAGCACGGGCGGGCGGATCTTGGGGATGTGATTAAGCATTTATAAGTCGCCCCGTCTCCAGCCGCAAATCATTTTGCCCAAACACCACAGCCTGCGCACTTTATACTGGGGCTAGGATTGCCTCGCTTGAATACGATGACAAAATCTAATCCTCAGCGCTAATCAAATTCAAGGATGGTGTCACCTCGAGGCTGGTACGGAGCACTCAGGTACGAAACAAGCCAGGAAGATGGCGATCAACTTGTCAAAAAATCCTTCACAGGCAAGCAGGCATGCCAGCGATTAAGTGATGCGGGACCAACTCTGTTCATCCGAGTAATAAAGCCGGGACTGAGACGCGGAGAGCGCTAGAAGATGTGCCCCAGACGGACTGCTCCAACACCCAGCCTGATCAGCGTTTAAAGCTTGGCTCGCAGGCCCACGAGACTTGAGGGTGAGAGCTATATTTATCAAGCTCTAGATCACCAGCAGTACCAGGCACTTTCGGACAGGCTGAATCGATCCAGGAGTGTATGTAGAGCATTTATTCAGGCGATAATATAAGTAGTAGCGACTTCAACTCCAATAACAGCAGTATTTGCCCGTGAGGGTTGCCACTTCTCACTGTTTCAGAAACAAGACGTTCGCTTGCTAGTCATTGAATCCCAAAGACAGCGAGTCCATTGAATACGGTCGGGTCTTTTTTCTGTTAAAGATGGCTGCAAGCTTTCGGTTACAAGCATGCCACGCTTACTCCATACATGGCGTGTTCACGCCACCAGGTGGGCGCATTTGTTTCCAAATCACTCATTTTTCCGTGTTCAACACTCAATAATGACTGCCAGTTCGATGTGTGAATTTCGGGATTTTCGGCAACACGGAGCTGTTGCCATGGATGATCACTAGTTATGATTTGGTAATGAAGTGTTCCGTCAAACAGTCGAAGCTCCAAGGGGTCTAAGCCACAGCATGATTCCCTACTGGTTTCAGGTGAGACTTTACCTCCATCACACAGTTTGGAACCGCAATCGAAAACACCCTTATGTAAAAGGATATTGATTTGTCATTTTCAAGCCAGCATTGAGAGGTATTAGTCAGGTCATTTCAGCGAATCATCAACCAGCTGTCGAGAAACAGAGGGGAGCTTGAGCATGTTAGCCGTAGGAAAAATCTCTAAACTGTCAATTAAAGGGGTCTGTCTCAGCATCTTCGTCTATCACAAGCACCCATGGAGCAAGTTATGGATTATCTCTCTCTTTCGTGTAACTGTATTCGCATCTTGGGTGCTCGCTCTGTCGTGTCAGAAGGTGGTGGCTTGAGAAGTCGTTTTTTCTCGTGTCAGAATAAGGTCGTGTGTTATGTAAGATAAAGTGATTGCTAATAAAGTTCAGCACGGGCCAGTTCCAGAAAACGGGGCATGGAGGCGTCAGTGCGGCAAGTTTGTTCAACGACAACCAAAGCAGAACGCGAAGCCGCACGCTGAACTTGATATCGACGAAGCGCAACCTACTATTACCCATCGGTACCTATCATACATCCCCGCCTTCCATTTGAACGACGATCTAAGCTCAGTGGAAGATTTGCTGCGTTTCCCGAGCTTTCTTCACATTCTCCGATCGCCACCTCCACGCTTGAACAGCGCGATGCCGCCAGGTCTCGGGAATAAGAACAAGGGCAAAGGCCGCGAGCCTAGAGGTTCCAGGAGCCGCAATACCACACCCAGCTCTGCGCTCAGCACAAGCGCCAGTACAGTTACCGGGATTGGCTTATCCACGGGCTACCTCGATAATGATGTCTCCAAGCTGCTCGTGCCGACTGGCGTGCAGTATTCCGACGTTCTTGAGAAATTTGGAGGAGTAGGTCAGATTCCGGATCAGAGAACACTCGAATCCCTGGTGGAACAATTGAAGACTCTAGGGCAGCTTGCAGAGACCAGAGAAGATGCATGCAATGCTGGCATGAGAGAGCTGTCGCAAAAGCGAAAAGAGGTGCTAGAAGAGCAGAGAGAACGGGAACAGGTGGACAGGGACACTGAAGAGAAATTACGAATGAAAAGAGAGGCAGATGATGATGAAGAGGATTCACGAATTCTTAAGGGAGGTAGGATAAAAAAGCGGAAAGAGAAAATCATCCCGAAGGACGAGAGACCGCTCTCCCATGGTGCCCATGGTGTTGCAAGACAAGATGGACCTGAAGGGAAAGTTGATGGTAAGTTGAGTCCAGCAATGATGTCGATGGAGTTATAAATCTCGATTCTGGAGCTTCATGAGTCCGCCCAGATTATTAACGTACGGCTTATAGTGTCCCATAAAAGAGGGAGTAAAGACGCCCCTGTCGGCTCACCTAAAAGGGTACGAAATCAACCGTCAAGCGCATCATCTCTGTCTCCACCTTCTTTCCATTCGCCTCCCCCTGCTACTGCTGGTTCAACCGCAGGAAGCCCCGAGTCCGTAGACAGTTCAGAATCCCATCAACCAGAACCTGCTCCCGCCGTCCATCAATATCAAGTTTTTGGGCCCGACCCTTTACAATTTGACGACCCTACAGTATACCATATTCGAGAAGTCACACCCAATATGTCAGTTGAAGAGAAGAAGAAGATATATAGCGTTGCAAGCTTCCCTGAATCCGACTTGAAGCATTTGATGGCTGGTGAACCACCGGATAAGGATTTTAGCAATGCGAAACCCACGAACCAAGTCAGCGCCAATACTTTTGCAACATACCTAGAACCATATGTCCGACCCCTTACGGAGGAGGACATAGCTTTCTTAAAGGAAAAGGTACGAACCTTGCACCGTGAATTCTTTTCAATTCCACAGTAAATCTGACTGTATAGGGCGATCGTGCTACTCCCTTCCTAATGCCCCGTCGTGGGAAAAAACATTATAGTGACATTTGGGCTGAAGAGGATGGTATAAATATGGACTCAATAAGCCAGGACCGAGACAAGTTGCCCCTAAATCAGGGTAGGGGTAGTATTGACCAGATCACAGATGAAACCTGTGAGACAGACCAGGTTTCAGTTCCTCCTATGCTTAGTCGATTATACTCTCTTTTACGTTACGAGCATCGTACCCTTCCTGATGATGCAGGTCAACCTGGGAACGAAGAGTCAACCGCAAACGGAAATATAAATGCTGACGGCTCAATGGATATTGACCAGCAAAATGGAGACACGGAGCCAAAGCAGCTAAGTTCAGCCACCTCATTCCCTGAATCTTCCTTAAGCGGATTCAAGGTTCCAGCCGCCAAGCTAGACCATGCCCAGCTTGACGAACGATTAAAGGCAGAGCTTCGGTATATCGGCTTCCTGGGGCCTGAGGACAATCCAGACTATGATGCCCACTATGATGACGATATTGCCGAACGGCTCCGTATCCTTCAATCAGAGCTTAAGAAACAAATGATCATTAATGGCGCACGGAAAACTCGCTTATTAGATATTGCTCGCGAACGGTTGGCTTACCAGGAATACAGCACCATACTCGACGATCTGGATACTCAGGTACAGCAGGCATATCTTAAACGAACACGTACTCTAGGCAAGAGCAAGAAAGGCTCTCATGCGAAACATCGGCCCGGTGGTGCAGGTGGAGGCAGTCATCCTGTTAGCACGGCTGGTGTTGGCAGACCTGGGATTGGTGACATGGCCCGTACCCTTATGGACCGTCGCAAGAGATGGATCGATTGCATTGGTCCGGTCTTTAAGGACTGTAAGTCTACTGTGCCTGGTAAAGACGAGAGTATCTGGGAACCTACGGCAATGGCAGATTTAGAGAAGGCGGAATTGGAAGGATGGGATGAAGAGCAAGAGTGAATTACAGAATCACTTCACGCGGCGTTCTCCGTGTTTATTTATTTATTTATTTATTTATTTTCTTTTGGGGGGGGATTAACTGTGAGTCATACATAGGGTGGATAGATGTAGGGTTGGCGTCTCGTGGGATATGAAGATGACAATCTCGCCGGCAGAGAGTATAACGAATTAACACGGAGATACATAGTAGTTTTTATGGGGATTGGTTAGTTAACTGATGGTGTATAAATTTTACGAGTGGATGATCACAACCTCCCGTGGGTATCGCTTTAGTCTAGCTGTAAGCTCCTTATCAGTGACCTCAAGTTCCGTGCATATTTCATCAAAGCAATGAGTTCCGTCGAGATATTTGGCAAGAGTCTTGTTGTCTATACCATAGTCCCCTGCCTCGCCGTCCTCCTCCCCCTCCGAATCATCATCCCCAAACCCGTCATCATCACCATCGTTACCCTCGTCATCGTAGCGATGAAGCGAGCGACGGTTACGTGCTCGGCTTCGAGGGGAGAGGGTAGATGTATTTTTCGATAGTGGCTTGCTCGTTGACAGGGGGTCAATACCACCAGCTGTAGAGCCTAGGCGGTCACGGGTGAACGGGTGGGCGCTCCGGTCAGTTGCTGCACCAAGGGAATAACCCGCAATAGGAAAAGTTGAAGGGAAGTGGTTTGACTGCCTTCTTTGGTGGGTGTTTTGTATAACCCTTCCAGTAGCAAAGGGATATTTATGCACTCGGTACAAAAAGCCCTTGATGACACCAAAGGTGATAAAACGGCGGACGTCAATATTTGCAAGCTCGCGCATATGCTTTAGGTACCATTGTTTCACGGTCTGGCCTTGTTTTAAGCTCGAGTATAGCTCTATGAGACCGACTCCATCGACGATTGTTCTCGAGTTAAATTTACTTGAGCCCTCGCCGGAAGTAGACGGGATGGAAGTATCGATCTTTGGCCAGATGCTGTCATGTTCCACCCAAGGATCGTCATTGGGTACAGATACCTTATGGCTGGAGTGTGATAGCGAAGCCCTTTGAAGATTAGATGCAGATGAAGATATGCCCAGGGTAGAAGTAGGTCTAATCACAGGCGAAGATTCACTAATGGGTGAAAACCGTATGTTAACGTACCGTGCACATTCACACTGCATCTTTTTGTCTGTGACGATAGTAGAACTAAACTCCGCAGTTGGAGCATAGATGGCGGAGAATGAGAATATATCCAGAAGGAATGCACATCCGTAGTATATCAGATGGCGTATTGCGCGGCAGGTAAGGGTGAAATCAGCATCAGATAGAATGGATATTTTCCGAACGCTATTGATACCATTGATATACGGAACTATCTGTGTTGAACATTAGTAGGATTCAAACGATGAGGCACAAGAAGATGGTATCATACCCTTCTCATAGTCAGGTCCCAGTTCTCATCCATGAAGGTCTCACACCGAACAGTGAAAAGGGGAACATGCCATGCTTTGACGATAGGCGGCGAAGGGTATAGGGGAAACAGCTTGACATTAAGGGTATTCAATTCATCTGGTATAGCAGTCAGCATACAGCAGCTGATGGCCTAACCAGGTAGCCAAGGTTGAGGGTAGCGTACCAATTGGAATCATGCACTCGTAATAATTATTCAGATCCTCCATCAGCGTTTCGCACAGGCTATATACCTTGCCTTCTCCGTCCTTGGACGTATCTTTCGACAAGAAGCCAGACTGCTCTTCGAGCCCGCACATCAGATGCGCCAACTTCTGCACCACACTCTTGTAGGTCCCCCATTCGTCCTCTTCGCTCAGCACAATGCAGAAGTTAAATATGAATTCATTCCGGTCGTAGCGAGGCGACTTCATGCAGACGGGGGATCCGAGTATTCTGTGTCCGCCTGTGCAGACGTGGATGAGATTCCCGCACAGCTCCTGTCGAGGGATGACGAAGAAAGAGACGTCTGAGAAGCTAAAGAGGGGAGAAGATCCCGGCGGTGCGGTTGGAGAGGGAACGATAGCTCCATCAGGTACTTGGTGAACGACTTTGGGGCCTGTACCGCTTGTGTTAGTATATGTCTACTTGATGTATGAAGGGTGAGTCGGTGGTGGTGATGGTGACGGGGGACGTTGGCATGCCTGACTGAGTGTCGAATCGGCTGTAGAAGATGGCTTTGATCATGATTCAATCGCGGTTCCTGACGTAGAGGAAAGAGAACGACCCGATAAGGGCGACATAACTCTCTCCCGGTTGTTTTAGACTTCCAGTGGGTTGTAGCTGTGAACCTGTTGCATCGTTCGAGCTCGTTTGTCAAGGTACGGCCAGCCAGTTAGTAGTCATTGAAGGAAAGGTGTTTTTACGTTGACAGCAAACAAACATAGTTAACCATAACACATAACTAACTAGCTAATGGATATCGCCCTAACCGCTGATATTCAACCACACCGGACTGATTGGACAGTAGGCCTTTACGCCCCTTTATTGCAAATGTCAATATCCAATATGACGAGAGGGTGACGCTCGCACCACGCTTGATAATCCCACTGGCAAATGGTTCCAGAGTAGAGCCGCCCCCAGTTACGGCTGCCTAGCCTGTTTCAACGCTACATCCCAGCCTGCTGCCAATGATTAGAACTGCATGTCGAGCTCCAGCTCATTTCAAATGGAGAGACAGGACTCCTCCACAGCCACAATAAGTTTTTTGCCGCCAACTATGATGCTATGGTAGCAGCAAGGAAGGAGTTGGAAAAGGTGGATAAGTCGAAGATGAACAAAGATCATAGAGATATGAGAAGGTTATTCAGTATCATAAAAGCGCAGAAAAAGCGTACAGGTATTAAGAAAGTGGAATGGAGAAATCCTTTCTGAAATGTAATTAGGATTTTACAGATGTAGGAAATTTGGGGACTATGTAACTATCATAGTTAGAAGACTAGTTAATTAAGCTATCTTAATACTATCTCATCATGCACATTTTCAGTTTTAGGCACTTTACCCCAGTTGATAGCACCCAGGTATAAAGCTAAGTTACACCCTTGCACCATTAAATAAATTCTCAATGAGTCCTATTTAGCTTTAGTTTATATTCAATATGTACTTACTTTGCAGTTATTAAAGGTATATGTTTCAAATAAAGCTTATAACAGATTCCATATATCTAAATCATATACTTGTATAGCATGCTAAAAACACCCATCATCTATTTTATCCTCGTCTCCTTTACACTAACATTTGAGAATAGGGAATGAAGTAAATCCAAAGATATCAGGTCTTGTCCAAGTAGGTTAGATAGTGGGGGGCTGCTATCGATAAACTATCTCTCCGTCGGGACCCAATGCCTCCATCCAATACCTCTCAACATCCTTATTAGGGCGCCAGTCTTGTACATCACATATAAAGCTAGGCATCTGGATTTGTGGACCTGGAAGAATGGGCTCTCCATGCCACTAGTACGATAATGAATGTCAAATTGCCGTTTAAAGCCTGCGACTTTGATAAATTTTGGGGATAACGGTGGGTTGGTACAACATAGGTCAACTCGCTTAATAGAGGGTGCATAACGGATAGCCTGTGCCATGGCTATTAGAAGGGGGTCCATCCTCTCAGGATTTGGAATACTGCGAAATGTGTTCTCAGAATCCTCGTTGCTATAAGATACCTGGGTATCATTCTTACTAGTAGCCCCTATAAACTCAGAATGGGAAGCAATTTTTGAATCGCCCATAAAGTACCACTCCCCATTGGGAGTAGCTGACGATATCGAAATACATAGCTCCTTTAATTTTGGCCAAAATGGTGCCGGAGCCGGCTTGAAGTTATCATATGGCCAGAAGGAGTCTGGTGAGATAATATGACTTCCGTTAATATATACTATCGAAACGCCTGTTCGCTGAATGAACTCGTGGAATGCAAGATTCATTGGGCCCACTAGCGAGGAAGATGGGACATAATTCGGAGGATCAATTGCTTCATCCGGTGGGTCGGAGTACTCCATTTCAAGCTTAAACTTCCTTAAGGAATGGGTATATAGAGAGAGGGCATTTGTAAAGGCTATTAAACCAGGTATTGGTATAAATTGTGAATTTTATCTGATGTATAAGCATATTGTACATACTAGGCCGAATTATCTTCCGGGTTTCGTCGCCAATATACTCTCGATGGTCATCATATTGTTTAGCAGAGACTTGTAAACCCTTAAGCTTGCCTGAAATAAGAATGCCTGATGCAGGGTCTAAAATACGTGATTCGTGACCATGGCGAGAAAAAAAGTCAGATACACATGAGAGGATAGGCAACCTTTCGTGGTTCAGGAGTTTGATATATCTCCCCCTAATTCCAGCGAAATGGTCCAGATGATAGAAGCTATCGCTCGGCGAAAATATATAGCGTATAGATAACCGCAGCCCATCACCCCTTCTAATATTTCTCTTGACATTCTCATCCTCACTAAAGGTCTCAAGCATCTGGAATAGCTCAAGAATAGCAGTGGAGAATACTTGATTGTTGACCTCTTCATGCTGATGGTAATTATCCCCGTCGTAGGCTGGTAGAAGAACCTGGAAATCAAGTGACTCAATCAGAGCTTTGCGATGGGCCTCGGTTTCACGGAAGAGACTGGCAAACGTAGATAGCCTAGTGTTCTTAATCTCGAGACTTCTGAAGAAGAACCGTTCAATAACGCGCTGCCAGCGACGAGAAACGGTCAGATATGGCTTTAAATGGTGTTTCTCTTTTCCGATGTAATCAAGAATAGTTAGAAAGATCTCTTGCGGGACTGTTTCCATGGTGGCAGTGATGCCTGGGATTGTTCAATCTTTGAGAGCCGAGTGAGCGAATATTAACCGAAAGCTACTCTCTCATGGGGGTATCTTGGTCAATTAGACAAACTCTTGTCATGTTGTCAGTTTTTTGTATTAGTCATCTTATCTCGCTACACCTTACTTTAGCACATTCGATAGATCCTCAATATCATCATCCTCCTTTCTGATACATGTATACGTTTGTATATCATCACTTAAACGCGATGGAAAGTTTTTGCCAAGGACTGTTGTCACGTGCTGACAAGTTTATGTCAGAACATGAACCACAGGACCAGCTAACTATATTCTTATTTACTTGACAAGCCAGTTTGCGCTCGCTACGCTCGCTATAGAGAAAAGAGATATTTACTACTTTCTATTGGATTACAAATTAGTTATTCATCGGGTATCAACTAGGTATTCCTATTGGCTAAGAATATATATTTCAATTTATGCCCACCCATTCAACCAATCAACACCACATACCCCCTTATGCTTCGCAACGGGGTGGTGTTGATTGGTTGTCTGGACGGGCCAGTCAGCTTTTTCCTATAAAATTTATGATTGGTTACATTTTACGTAGGAGCGGAATAATTATTTTACCGATCACGTGAACGTAAAAATTCACAGACTTTAGGTACCTATTCTTTTATTATTAGGTATACAGAGATAGAGAAGAGATAACTCCAAGTACACCAACATACAAGCACTTAAACAAGTCAGATGGAATGCTAAGTGATATATAATTGACATACTCCGTAGTCAGTTTTTCTACAATGAACGTGTGAAGGTGAGAATGAACTGTTGTTCCCCTGATTGCAAACAGGCTAAATACAATATTAAATAAGCCTTGCTAGAGCATAAAAATGCAATGAACAAAGATTAAAAATGCAAAGGCCACTATCAAGGAAGTAAATAGAAATATGAATAGGAACATATAGATAGGAGCATCGCATGCTGGCGCTCAGGGATATCATAAAAGGAACGAGAATATATGCCGAAGGAAGCTGAAAAGGGAGTCGTTATATGAAGCTTCAGAGAGAAAAAGCGAGCAGCGGAGATAACGAGGCGTAAGAGGAACAGGAGAACAGATCTATCCATAGCCATAAGGTCTTGGGGAATACGTAAAAAGGTTCTGCGAAGAGAAGAGCTGAGATGAGACGAGGATAAGGAGTACGGGACTGCAGAGAGCGAGATGCTCGCTTGAACGCTAGTAGTGTCGAGAAGAAGCAGTCCCATAAACACCATTAATCGAAATTGAATCGAAGAGAAGAGAGAGAGAGACAGTAAAACAATAAGGGGAAAGTCTCCTGTATCAATGCGCCGGTAAAATGCCTGGATAAAACGAAAGCGGTAGAAAAAAAGGAACGAAACGAGGTTTTTCAGCTGTGGTGGTGGAGGTCTCTTGATGGCTGGGCTGAGACGGTCGTAGAAGGGGTTGAGATCGGTGCTATGGAGTGAATAATGTCACTGTTTATGGCTGGTGAGCCGGCAGAGTAGCTGCGATATGCAGGACTGGGTGATCCTGGCCCTGCAAGATGTGGATGATGGTATTGGTGCTGATGATGGTGGTGGCTCTGGTGGTGCTGGTGATGCTGGTGTACGGCCACACCTCTCTGTGTAAAGTCGATGGCTCGTCCTTCACGAATGGCATCGAGCATGTCGGTATAACCACCCCGTTCGATAGCCTCCTTGAGCCACTGCTCCCATATCTCATCAAGGGCAACGTTGATCCCACGCTCCCGGGCTGCAGTGGCTTCCAGGAGGTGTTCGTTCAGGGCCACTCCATAGCTCTCCAGGTCTTCGTCGCTGCTGCTATCCTCAGTCCCGCTCTCACCGGTAATGGGTCCGTTGGTGTCTGATCCGGCGTTGCTAGGCAGTATGGGTCCGTCAATGATCTGTGAGCGACAGGAAGAGGAAGAGCAGCACTCGTCGTCCTCTTCAACCGCTGCTACCTCTGCTTCTTCGGCTTCGCTCGCTTCTCGTACGGGTGCAGCATGTACGTGGAGCGTAGGCGGCATCGACGGAGCAGCAGGCTTGATCTCGTCTGCGGTGGTGTCTCGCACTTTGATGCCGGTATCTCGCTCGTACCGTTCTCTGGCCGACTTTGTGCCCTCCCAGCGACAGAGGGACGAGATCTCGGCCTCGGTCAGCCCGAGCTCGTCAAAGACCTTGAACAGCTTCTTGTGGTGGTGGAAACGGCCTAGTCTCATGCGATGAGGGCCATACGAGTAGTCTAGGCCGGGATACTGAGCTTCAATGCAGTCGAGCGTTCCATAGAAGGTCGATGTCTCTACTCGCACTTCGGGGACGAGGTTTCTGGTGATGTGCGAGGAGAAGGAGGACGGGTCATTGCCGCGAGGCTTGCTGAAGAGGGCGTTGTACACCAGGTGAGTGAGCGAGGGCTTATGCATGGCTGCGCTGGAGCTGGTGCTGCTGGTAGCGTTTCGGCGATTTTCTTCGGACTTGACCAGGAGGTGAGCTTGCTAGGCCGGAGCTTGCTTGATTCTTCTGCCACTCTCAGGACGGTCTCGAAAGGAGCAGCGAGATAGATGGATGCGAAAGGCTGTCTTCTCCCTTGCAGTGAGGAGAAGCTGAGCTGTCCCGTCTGCCGCTATGATCGCTGTTTAGTTGCAGCTCAGCCTCGATGTAGGCGGGAGAGACAGAGTCAGGGGGGGTGGCAGGCAAGACGCAGGAGACCAGTAGAAGACAGACAAACCCAGCAGGCCGGCGAGCGAGCAGGAGGAGTATTTATGTCTTCCCGAGACGCTCCAGCCCGACGATCGAGCTGCTCAGTCTATTCGCTGGCGTCTCCTTTTATTTTTCCTTTTCCTTCTCGCTATTTTTCTGCTTTTCCGTCGTCTTTCTTTCTTTTTCCTTCCAGGGGATGGAGGAGGCAGAGAGATGGGATGTAGAGAGGGCAGAGTAAAAGTTAAGCAGGACGAGATGGAGAGCCTTTTCTTCTGCCGGGCTCTAATTTTTTATTTTTGACAGGCCTTTTTGACAAGGCTGATCTTGCTGAGAAGGCGGCAAAAAGGAAGCTCTTGTGCTTCTTATATAGCAGCCAGAACTGTCTGTCCCTGGCCTTCTGGGGCAGAGGGAGGGATGATCGGATATAGCGTTGGTTATATAACTAAAGAACGCCGGGGCTGTCTGGGGGTCCAAGCAAATAGCCAGAGTCGAAGATTGATAGAGACGCAGAGGAAAAAGCAAACAAGGTCAAATAAGACAGAGCTCACACTAGGTTAGTTATCGACAGCCGTCCTTTGGGGGCCTCTTCTCCTGTCCTGCGGTTATCAAGATAGCTGCTGGTGCTGGTGTTTGACGTTTGCTGCAGCTGCTGACGAGGGCATGGACACGCCGTCTGCGCACAAGAGAAAGGCAGAGAAGACAGAAGAAGAAGAAGAAGTAAGAAAATAAGAAGGATAGGAAGGATAATAAGAGGAAGAAGCCTGGAGTTGAGCTCGGGTGGCACTGGTCAGTGAAACGAAGAAAAAGGTCATCTGAGGACGGGGATGCTGCTGTATACAACACTCCACACTCACTTCTACCCAGCTGCTCAGTCCATTTAGTTATACTCAGGGTCAGTCGAGCCGTGATCTCTCAAGACAAAAGAAGAGGGAAAAAAGACGGAGATGGTCTACGGCGTGTCCCCATTTATATAGTTAATTATCCGTGGGCAATCGCCTTGTCCAAAGAATTGGGGGTTTATATACAATCTGCCCCGGTCCACCATGCACAGCAGCAGCTTCGTGGCTACATCTACTTGGGCTAACTCGCCGTGGAGAGTGTGAATAAAAAGCCAGACCAAGAGAGTCTCCCACCGAACAAACCCCCGTCGGCCGGCAGACGTGGGCTCTCTAGTAGCCTGTGCTGCCTTTTCCTTTTCCTGCTTTCTCGAGCTGCGTGGTTGGCCTGCAGATTCTGCAGTGGAGAAGCGAAGGGGGAAAAAGACCAGCAGCACCGGATGCATGCCCCATGCCAGCAAGTCAGTCAGTCAGTCACTAGTTAGCTGGTTGGGTCCTTGACTAACTGACCGGGTCGTTAGTTCACTGGCTGACCCTCTTTTTCCTTGTGTCGTGAGCTCTTTTCTTCTGGCGTCTGACTGTCTGACTGGCACCTTGGGTGAGGCATCAGATTCGTGGCAAATGGAGGTGGCAGCAGCCCTATCATCGACGCTCGACGGTCCGATATACGAGCACACCCGGACCTTATTTTGAAGCGACTGAGGTCTGATCTCCTGCGCTCTCAGGGTGGGTAAAAATGTTCCGTCAGGACTTATGCCAATTTTAATTAATTAAGCAGCCGAGGTCTAGTCCCTGCCCTTTATCTGCTCTTCCCCTTTTCTTCTTTGGCCTCGTTCTGGCTTCCTCGTCTCCCTTTTCCCCTTGTTGATGTGTGACGGTTTGGATGGTTGTCCAACCCGTCCTTCTGCCCGGACCAGAGGCTTTGATCGCCGATAAGCATTGTGATACGGGGTACATGGAGTAGCATTCGACGGTTACCTAGACGTCAATGTTAGCAATCCGTTCTATAACGCTGGTACGATGTAGTAACAGTAGCAGCAGCCGTAGTTTGTCGTTGAAAGCAGTGAAGAAGCTCGAGGTCGAAGCGTGGCTTGGCGTGAAGCTGAACCAAAAAACGACCGCCAGGCAGCGACCTCCAGCCGGGGCAACCAAACTCGAGTATAAGAACATCATGAAGATGCATGGATAGAAGCGCCGAGTAGACACTGCTGAGACGCCGCATAAATGTCGACGTTTAACGGCATCGTCGAAGGTTTGGCCTCTTCTCACTCTCTGCTCACCTTCGTAGCTGCTGACACTGCCTGCAGAATTTCCGTATATAAGAAGTGATAGCTCCAACATCGCCAGCTGAGAGAAGGGCAAGATCTGACTGACAGGCTGATAGTCGACAACTTCCGCAAGCACCCGGAGTGGCCTGCACCGCTGGCCTGTTTCCTCAGCCATGTCCACAGTGACCATCTCGTGGGGCTGGAATCCCTCAGAGCCCCGTTTGTCTACTGCTCCGCGGCCACCAGAGAAGTAAGCGGACACATTTGGCACTGGCTAACCGCTTGATATATCCCATTGTTAACGGCCGTAGATTCTCTTGCGTATTGAAAAATATCCCCATCGGATGAACTTTGCCAAGGGGATTCTAGAGTCTAGAAAGCAGCATTACAAACATCTGGCAAAGCTACTGGTGAGGATGTTTTTATGCCGTTGGGTGACGGCTACTTGATATTGGTTCTAACAGTACCACTATAGAGACCAATTCCGTTGCAGGTCCCGACGGAAATAGAGCTTATGCCTGGAAACACCATAAGAGTCACCCTATTCGATGCTAATCACTGTCCTGGATCTGTCATGTTCCTCATAGAAGGCGATGGCAAGGCAATACTATATACAGGTGACATCAGAGGTAAGGTCAATAACTCATGCTTATAGGCTGATTAATCTCAATATTCTTATTCAATAATATACTTGCTGACCGTCTCTCCAGCTGAAGCATGGTGGGTACAGAGCCTTATTAGAAATCCAGTGTTAATACCGTACAACATGGGGGACCGCCGTCTAGACACTATATATCTTGATACCACCTTTGCTACAAAGTCAGATATCCACCAGGTCTTCCCCTCAAAGGCAGAAGGCATACGGGAACTACTCAGTAAAATTAAGGGGTATCCCGAGGACACTATATTCTACCTTCGTAGCTGGACATTTGGCTACGAGGACGTATGGCTGGCTCTCTCAGCAGCCTTGGGCACAAAGGTAGGCAGATCCTCACTAATCGGCTATTCTAGGCCTTGCTGCTAACATTTGCTTTGACAGATACACGTCGACAGGTACCAATATAGATTGTATAACTCGCTGAGTTCTAGACCAGGAACCGGCTTTGGGGTAGACGACTCCCTCTACCTTTGTGGCTTCAGACTCGGCAACTCCTCTGTTCCGGGGTGTTTGACAAACGATCCGTCCGCCCGCGTCCACAGCTGCGAACCGGGGGTGATGTGCTCGCGAATAACGTCTGGGAAATCAGTCGACATTACTCCCATTGTCACACGAACTCAAGACGGTTATGAAATACCCGAGGTCGGGGCTGGAGGTGGAAAAGGAGATCTCGAGCAGAGCCACGAACTCGAACTGCCTGATCACGCAACCTTTAAGCGTTTTCTAGACCTGTGTAAGGAGCAGATAAAGGAGCCAGACACAAGGGATCTGGTAGTCTCGACTCTATCTAGGGCGTACGAGTCTACGAGAGCAGCTATCTCCTTGGGCGAATACGGATTGAAAGATGAAGAAGAGATAACCCTTGCAAAGCTTGTCACTACCATCGGGCAAGGCCTGAAGCAGAAGGAAAAGGAGTCCTTACCAAATACCATTGTAAGCATAGTTTGCCTGTCTTACCTACCCCCCTTTCACAAGAAATTACAACTAACCATCGCAATACAGAAGTTTCCTTACTCCCGCCACTCCTGCTACTCTGAACTATGCCAGCTCGTCGGAGCATTCAGGCCTAGGGACATATACCCATGCACAGTTGACCCCCTTACCTGGACCGAGGGAGTCTCCATGCGGTCCCTATTCGGCCATTTATGCTCAAGCAGCACATTCCGTCATGACAATAGGATGCGAGAAGGAAACCCTCGGCCTTCAAAGCGTCAAAAGCGCGGAAGTGATGCTCAATCCGAAGTTCTCTCCAGCCAGCCCTCAGCAGCAGACTCACAGCACAAACTCGAGCTGCAGCTAACTTCAAGCCAGCCGCAAGAGGACATAAACCATCTTTCTCAAACCGGGGAGCAGGAAGACCTCGAAGACTCTCTAGCAGACTATCCCACCTCGTTCCCAACCCAGTTGACTGCGCAATCATCAGAGTCTCCGGCAACGAGGTTCAAGGCAATAAAGCAAGCTATGCTTGAAGACTACCAAAATGACGAGATAAACTTTCTGTTGCCTTCTTTTACCGATTCACAGCCGGATGTTGAGCCGACTTCGCACCAGCTGCATGTATCTAAGGATTCGGAGGAGGCCCAAATACACTCGCAGTCCTCGGTTTCTCAGCGAGATCTGCAAATAGAGCAGGAGGAGCTAGACTTGCAGCTTAGCTTGTGTGTTTCTCGCACATTCACCACGACTACCAATGAAGAGGACCAGGAGGATGATGATGACGAGGGTGATGATGGTGAAAATACCAATAATGACGGCGAAAGCATCGTTTCTCTATCGTCCTCTGCATTCTACTCCCAACCCCAGCCGCAGTCTCAGCCTCATGTTATAATAGTGAAACCGGCGGAGAATTGTAACCAAAATCCGGCAGATACCATCTTAGTTCCTTCATCGGCTCCCGGCCCGGAGACAGATATTGACTCTGGCCCTCCTGGACCCTGCAGACCCGAAGCCAGCTCGCGTGCCAGGAAAGAGCTGCGCGTGGCTGCGTATCGAGCCGCGAAGAAAGGAACATACCAGGCCTGGACGAATACGTGTCCATTGATAAGTGTGGATGACCATACTCATCCGGAGATAGAGTTGTGATAGGCACATACATACATGGCTTATGCTTCTGGTGTTTTTATATGATACCCCCTTACACGCGCATATGCAGTGACATTCTTGATATTTCCTAAAACTGAAAAGCCGAAAGTCGATATAACATAACTAGCACAACATAACGTATAAACTATATATAAATGAATGATATAAGATAAAAAAAAAAAAAAAAAAACTCGCTAGGAAAGATTCTTCATGTCCGCCGCCTGCTTCGTTCAAATTACCACCCTTGCTTGATTGGAGCCTAGTATATGAAATAGTCCTGGCATAGGGGGAGGATATCGATTGGATCCGCATCGCATACCATTCCATCTGCCTCGACGGTCTGTACAGCATTAGCCAATGTACCTCAGTCAGAGCATGCATGCATGTGGCTTGGCGGGAAACTTACGTAGCTTTCTGGATCGACGTGCATTTTCGGCCTGGTGTCGTTGAACTTCATGTCTTCTTTGCCTATGTTTCTGCAGTTCTTGACTGGTTCGACTCGTTTCTTGATGTCGTAAGTATCGATCACGCCGTCATCAACAGACGACTGAGAAACGAAGATAATGGATGTATTTGGTAGACAGCTCTAGAGAGAAGTTAATATGGAGATAAATATGCTACTAAAAGGGGGTTGGGGGAGACACGTACAGCCCACATAGGTCTTGACAGAATCGGCTCAATGGTCGGAATAGAGCCGTTTGCATCGCCCTGTAGAATAGTTAGATGGTGTGAGGATCGGAGGGAAAGGGGCAAATAAAATACCATCTGTGCTCTGGCAATCATGCCGCTCTTGAGGGTGAGATTAGGCTTGACGCCGAACTCGGCAAACTTCCACAACACCAGGTCTGCTACTTTGCCCACCTCGACGCTGCCGATGACATGGCTCATGCCCTGGGCAATGGCTGGGTTGATGGTATATTTGCTCACGTACCGCTTGGCTCTGAAGTTGTCGCATCCCGTACCTTCGTCTTCAGGCAGAACACCGCGCTGCAGCTTATTCTTGTGGGCGGTATGCCACGTTCGAAGCACGACTTCTCCGCAACGGCCCATGGCCTGAGAGTCAGAGGACATCATGCTGATAGCGCCGATGTCATGAAGGACGTCTTCGGCAGCGATGGTTTCGGCGCGAATACGTGACTCGGCGAAGGCTACGTCCTCTGGTATATCCTTTGACAGGTGGTGGCAGACCATTACCATGTCCAGATGCTCGTCTAGAGTGTTGAGAGTGTATGGTCTGCTTGGGTTGGTGCTGGAAGGTAAGACGTTGGGGTGTTCGCAGACAGAGATGATGTCGGGGGCATGGCCGCCTCCAGCACCCTCGGTGTGGTAGGTGTGAATTACTCTGCCCTTGAGAGCTTTGATGGTCTGCTCGACGAAGCCTGATTCGTTTAGGGTATCAGTGTGAATCAGGCATTGGACGTCGAGCTCGTCGCAGACAGAAAGACAGCTGTCGATGGCGGCGGGAGTAGCTCCCCAGTCCTCGTGTATCTTGAGCCCAGCGGCGCCGGCACGAATCTGGTCTCTGAGACCGCGCGGTTCACTATCGTTGCCCTTACCGGTGAAAGCAAAGTTCATGGGGAACCCGTCGGAGGACTGTATCATCTGGCGAATGGAGTTTGGAGACGGGGTGCAGGTAGTTGCATTGCTGCCCTCGGAGGGACCGGTGCCGCCTCCCAGCATGGTCGTGATGCCGGACGAGAGCGCTTCGTCTACCTGCTGGGGACAGATGAAGTGGACGTGGGTATCGATACCGCCAGCGGTGACGATCATCCTCTCGGCGGCGATGATGTCTGTAGATGAGCCGATGACCATTCCGGGAGTGATGCCATCCATGACATCTGGGTTTCCTGCTTTGCCGATTCCGACGATGATGCCGTCCTTGATACCGATGTCCGCCTTGTAGATGCCGGACCAGTCGAGGATGACGGCATTGGTAACGCAGCTGTCGAGCACTTCATGCGCATGTCTGCCGGTGGCCTGTCCCATGCCTTCTCTCAGCGACTTGCCTCCGCCAAAGGTGCATTCATCGCCGTAGCTGGTGAGATCCTTCTCGACCTTCACCCACAGGTCCGTAGCAGCCAGCTTGATCAGGTCACCGGTCGTGGGGCCAAACGTGCGCGCATAAGCCTCGCGGGTCATGGTATACGGCTTGATCAAGCTGGCATCGGCCGTAGGCTCCGGGGTATGCATGAAGCCGGCCTGGGCGATACGGCTGAGGATCCTGTCCTTGCGACCATGATTGATTTCACCAGTTGCCAGGAAATTGCCGCCCTTGATGACCTTGTGGCCCGCAATCTCGACGAGCTGGACGGTCTTGGACTCTCCGGGCTCGAACCGATGGGATGCTCCGGCGGGTATATCCAGACGGAAGCCGTAAGCCTGGGCCCTGTCGAACTCGAGCTGGGGGTTGGTCTCGATGAAATGGTAATGCGAGCCGACCTGTATCGGCCTGTCTCCCTTGCTGGTGACACGCAGCTTGATTCTCCTGCGTCCGGGGCTGAGCTCGATCTTGGACTCTTTGACCACGACGACGGCCCCCGGCATGCGTTCGGGCAGGTACTCTTCCGGGTCCGGGTCCGGGAAGAGGTCTTCTGGTGGCACGGGCAGGAAGCTGCCGTACAACGCCTTCTCGAGGTCTCCGTCGTCCGAGCAGATGGGATTGTGGACGGTGACGAGGTACGATCCGCAGACGAAGGTGCCCTCGACCTGCAGCTGGGTCAAGCTGGACACGACGGAGGGCAGGACATGGCGGCGGCCGAGCATCGACTTGCCGATGGCCATCAGGTCGGCCACCGTATGGTTTCCATCCCGGATCAACTATCTCGATCAGCTAACTAGATCTCAATGTATATATGTATATAGATCGTGTTGGTGCTCACCTCGTGGAGGTTGGAGGATATCAATGCCGTGGCTTCTGCATGGTTGAGACGGACGCCTCTTGCCAACCGCCGCTGCGCCAGGAAGCCCAGCTGCGAGATGGTGAGTTTATCGAGCTGCAACAAGTAGACAGTCAGTCAATTGAGTCTTTCTTGATGGACTTCATGAACTTCATGAACTTCATGGACTTGATGGACTTCATGGCCGCTGCTCGTCTCGCCCGGGGCAAAGGATGGGATGGAGCAGCCCCAAGCATTGGCGACGAGGCGGCGGCCAGTCAGCGTCAACGCACCTCTCGGGGGACGAGGCGCATCTTGCAAGCCAAGCACGATCGAGCTGCTGGTTCCTGGTCGGCCTGGAGGGCGTCTCCTTGCTGTCGTCTAGTTCTTGTCTATCGATAGCTATACGAGCGAGATCTTGATCTGGGGATATCGAAGGTGTTGTTGCATGGAGGAACAAGACGGCCCAGCAGATCCTGCCGACTTTCCGCGCTGGCTCGCTGTCGCCTGCCGAGGCCTGCTGCCGCTAGCTTGAGAGCAAAAAGTCCCAGCTGTAGCCGGCGTTACTTGTTTACTTTTGTAAGGGAGAGGCCGAGATGGGGCTTGTAGGAGGTCGAGACAAGAGAAGACTTTTATTGGGAGTACAGATAACTAACGGACTGGACATGAGATGACAGACGCAGAACCAACGGCCAACAGCTAGAATATAAACACAGACAAGCCAGATGGGGGGGAAAGGCAAAAGATACAGACAGGGAACACAGTAAGGAGGAGAAAAAAACAGGTTTGCTCACTCGTCAACGGCGCTCTTGCGCTTCTTGCGAGCCTTCTTCTCGGACCTGGGGGGCTCCGGGGCGGGCGAGGCCACTTCGACAGCAACGTTCGCAGCAGAGGCCCGTCTGTCCTTGTCCTTGCTCTTGCTCTTCTTCTCCTTCTCCTTCTTCTCGGGCGACGACTTCTTGGTGGCTGGCGTGGGCGTCTCGATGACAGGCGCCGGTGCTGGAGCTGGAGCTGGAGCTGGAGCTGGAGCAGCGGCCTTGGACTGGCGACGTTTCTGCGACTTGGGCGTTGGCTTGGGCGGAGACGGGGTGGGAGTCGCCTCTGCCTCGCTTTCTGACGAGCCTGCGGACTCGGAGGAGGTGTCTTCGGTGGTGGCTTCGCGGACCGCCTGTTGGAGCTGCTGCTCAGCGGCCGCGTCGTGATCGTCGTCCTCGTGCCGAGCGGCCTCCTTGGTCGATGGCTTGCTGGACTTTGACGTCTTTGCTGCCTTGGCTGGCTTGGGGGTGGCTGGCACCGTGCTGTCGACCTTGTGTCCCGGCGGCAGGCTGGCCTTGTACGCGCTCATCTCCTCGTTGTAGACGGCCAGATTCTGAGCATACAGATCTTTCCATTTCTGCCGGCAGTCAGCATACTCAATACACTCAGACCTAAGACTGTGAGAGAGAGACCTACCTGCTTCTCCTGGGGAGGCATCTTCCCCCAGCGACGGGTCCCTTCGTCGGCCACCTCCTTTGGCCGGGCATTCGCACCCAGCTCGGCCGCAATGTTGGCTCGCTCATGCTTCATGTACAGGAAGTACGCGGTCAGCGCCCTCTTCGGCGCATTGGGGTCATGCACTCGCTTGCGCTTGGTGCCAGCTACCGACCGCGCTCCCGGGCTCGCTGCTCGGCCAGCCCCCTCGGCAGCAGAAACACCGCCGTCGGCATCTGCACCACCGCCGCCGCCGCCGCCGCCCGTGACGCTGGACGGGAAGATGCCGTTCTCGAGCAGCGAGTTGAGGCCGCCGATGTCGATGGAGGACGGGCCGCGGTTGAGCACTGTGTTGGCGTGGTTGATGTAGGCGCGCGACAGGTCCGAGACGGCCGACTGGAGCGCGGCGAGACCGACGATGACCTGTTCGCAGGTTAGCTCTGCAGAGAAGATGGCCGGCTGCTGCGCGCCCAGGAAGAGGTCCTGCGCCGTCGAGTTGATGCGGTAGGTGAGCAGGGTGATGGCCTGGACGAGGTCGAGGGGAGCTGCTGGAGCTGCTGCTGCTGTGTCCTGCAACAGGAGGCCCGGCGTTGCAGTGCGACCGCGGCCGGGCCCAGGCGTCGTGGCACGGCTGTGACTCCGCGCAGGCATCGTGGAGGGTGTACTCTGCAGCGAAGAGGTGTAGACAGGCAGACAGTAGAGACGGGAGTGTGATAGAGGAGGACAAGGGGCTGGGTGGTGTAGCGTCACGGACAGGCTGGGCTAAGGGGGCAGCAGGCAGCTCTTTGGGGGGGGCGCGCGGGCGTGTT